ACACACACACACACATCCAGCGCGGTGCTGCTGTTGAAGAGCGCGTCAGCCGTGGAGCTGCCGGTGGGAGAGTTGCTGAGCGTGGACAGCACGCCARTGTGCGTGGGTTTGTTTGTATGTGCATTGTATGTCGACGTTCGTCTCGCAAGAATTGCGTTCTTCAAATYATTTCACAATGTCACGCACATTCCACTGACGCACGCACACACTTGCCAGCGTCGCATTGATAAGAGTGAATTTTATTCATGCTCATAAAATTTATGAAATGTACACAGCCACATGTATGTATGTATGTATACATAAGATTGTAAAGACATACTTATTTCTCTTCATTTGCTTTCGTTTTTCACCAAAGACGGACACCAACAACAAAAGTCCATAAATAAACTTAGAAAATCATCGTTACTGGTAAATTTGGTGGCTCGCAATTCGAAGATCCAGAAGTATCCAGTGGAACATACAAGCACATAGTACAAATGTATGTACATATGTATATACATAGATGGAAGCAATTACCTACATACATATGTAAATATAATCAGAAGGTACTCTCATTAACAAACTATTTAGCTCGACGTTATCAAAACAAATTCGGAAGGTTTTCCAATAGAAACCCTACTTTTTGTTTGTAGGCCTTTTGGCCTCTTTTTTCTATTATATTTTCAATATAATAGATATATATATATATATTTCGAAGTCCACATAAAATTTTGTGTTTCATGTCTTTAAGATGATAAGCTGACTCGACCGTCGGGGACACATGCTGAAGTTTCCCTCAAATAAGTGGAAACATCTTCAACTTATGTACTCATCTGGCAACAAATTCTTTAGAAGCTTCCGCTCAAGGTGCCCAAAACTCATTTTCGCATCTAGTTTTCTGAATTTTTCACAAAAATCAAAGTATTCAAGAAGCCGTAATGATCGTGTCCAACTTCCGCTTTGTGAGCAATAGCTAAGCAGTAGCATAAATCTAACTCCCCTCACTTCCCTCTCTGATGTGCWTTAAACAAATGCGCACGAATTGACTTTTGAACGCCGGAAAGTCATTGCCACCGAACCTGCGGTCTCAACGAAATTTATTCCGCAATCGTCGCACTGGTCGGCGGCCTCTTTGGTGATCTGAAAGTAAAACTATAATAAAAACAACTGCGATTTCAATGATTCGAGCGAAATAGCTGCGCATCTAACGAAATTTGCATTTCCATTTGCATTTGTTTCATTTGTTGCAATTTCATTTGCAGCATTGTTATCGTGGCTTTGGCGCCCCTTTTGTTGTTGTCTGTTAGGAATTTATTTWAAAAAAAATGTGTGCATGCGTGCGCATATCGACGACACGTARCTAATGAAGGCGGAACCTCATGAATAACTGGGCCCGGATTCTAAGCAAGAGGGAGGCGATCGTTAGGGTTCATGAGTACTTATTCGCTGGAATCGCT